TATTTTCAAACTATGAGTTCATCATAATACTTTTCATCATAAATCTATTTTCCTCTACCCTTTGGCTTCGTTCATAGTGAGTAAGTATCAATCTAAAATCCATTATAATTTTATGAGTACTTTTAACAATAGGTTTAACGAATGACATGGTTCTTCTGTTATGAAGTTAGGGATTGTATGTTTATCTTATGTTTTTATATTACTTCAATGAACTGGTGCTTTAATCCTCAGTTAAGAAGGTATATTCGTGCCCAAGGATAACAGATTTTGTCTAAACCATTGCTACTCTAAGTATAAATGCCACTTTAAAAAAAGGCATGCAAATTTGATTTAAGGCTTTACACTGATGATCTCCTTCTTCTCCATAAAAAAAGAGAATTTTAAAAGATGAGTTTCATTTACAAAATATAAGATAACTTTAATATTTTTTCTCTTCCCTTTGACTTCGTTTATAGGGAGTAAGTATACATATTAATGAAATTATAACTTTTTTTTATATATATTCCAGTTGTCTTTCTGAATCTTCATTTATTATTCTCTTTTAAGGCATTTTTAAAGCTTAGCACGATATAATTCTAGGCTGTTGTAGAAATGCTACCAGTTGTCCATGATCACTTCTATCCATCGGTTTAACAATTCTAAAATTTCATCTGTTATGAAGTCACGGATTGTCTGTTTACGTTATAATTATGTCTTACTTTAATTGTATCTGTTTGATGCTTCCAACTGATGATCTCTTTCTTTCCCATAAAGAAAGACAAATTAAAAAGATGAGTATTATTTGTATATAAAATGTGATCTAATATCTGAATGTTTTACTTTTCCCCTTGTTCTTGATTCATAGTTGGTAAGTATCCATGAAAATCGTAATATATCTTTGTAATATGTCTGGTCATTTTTCACAATCGTTTTTATGTATTCACTTCTACTCTTTTTTCAACTAACCACTTTAAAATGCTTGGGTTTTGTAAAAATGCAAACCTGTATCCATGATAACTTTAAACCAAAGGTTTCGATTAAAAAAAGAAGATATTTTATGAAGTTACAGATTCTATATTTTTCTTGTGTGTTTGCCTTTCTTTAATGAACTGGTGTTGTAATACTTAGGTAAGAATTGATTTTCGTGCACCATGACAGACGTTTGTTTCCTACAACATTGTTACTATAAGTGTAACTTAAAAATAAAGGCATGCAAATTGCCTTTCTGGCTTTTAACTGATGATCTCCTTCTTCCCAATAAAAAATAGAAATCAAAAAGATGATTTTTATTTATATAAATAAGTTCATTTTAATATTTTTCTTTATTTATTTTCCTCTAACCTTGACTTCGTTCATAGGGAATAAGTATACATCTTAATTAAATTATAACTTCTTAATATATTATAGTCATCTTTCTAAATCTTTATCTATTATTCACTTTTAAGGCAATTTTTTTAAAGCAGACCACTATAGAATGCTAGGTTATTGGAGAAATGCTACCACTAGTCCATGATCACTTCTAACAATAGGTTAAACGAATGACATGGTTCTTCTGTTATGAAGTCACGGATTTTATGTTTATCTTATGTTTTTTTATATTACTTCAATGAACTGGTGCTTTAATCGTCAGTTAAGAAGGTATATTCGTGCCTAATGATAATAATTTTTTTCTAAACCATTGTTACTATAAGTATAAATGCCCCTTTTAAAAAAGGCATGCAATTTGATTTAAGGCTTTCAAATAATGATCTCCCTCTTCTCCATAAAAAAAGAGAATTTTAAAAGATGAGTTTCATTTACAAGATATAATATAACTATATATAATATTTGTCTTTATCCATTTTCTCTACCCTTTGACTTCATACATAGGGAGTAAGTATACATCTTAATGAAATTATATATATTTTTTTATATATACCAGTCATTTTTCTGAATCTTTATTTATTATTCACTTTTAAGGCATTATTAAAGCTTAGCACGATATAATTGTATAGGCTGTTGTAGAAATGCAACCAGTTGTCCATGATCACTTCTATCCATCGGGTTAAACATTCTAACAATTTCGTATGTTATGAAGTCACGAATTGTCTGTTTACCTTTTTTTATGTCTTACTTTAATGAACTGGTGTTGTAATATTTCGGTGACAAGGAATATTCGTGCCCAATGATAAAGATATGTATCCTAAACACTTATCCTAAAACACTTATTTCACCTAAAAATAAAGGCATGAACATTGTCTTTAAGGCTTTCAACTGATGATATCCTTCTTAACCATACAAAAATAAGAATTAAAAAGATGAGCGTTATTTGTATATATGAGTAAATTCTAAAATGTATTTTTATATTTTTCCTCTAACTTTTTGCTTCATTCAAAGAGAGTAAGTATAAATTTTAATTAAATTATAACTCCTTTATATATTATAGTCATCTTTCTGAATCTTTATCTATTATTCACTTTTAAGGCAATTTTGTTAAAGCACACCACTATAGAATGCTAGGTTATTGGAGAAATGCTACCACTAGTCCATGATCACTTCTAACAATAGGTTTAACGAATGACATGGTTCTTCTGTTATGAAGTCACGGATTTTATGTTTATCTTATGTTTTGTATATTACTTCAATGAACTGGTGCTTTAATCGTCAGTTAAGAAGGTATATTCGTGCCTAATGATAAAAGTTTTTTTCTAAACCATTGTTAATATAAGTATAAATGCCACTTTTAAAAAAGGCATGCAATTTGATTTAAGGCTTTCAAATGATGATCTCCCTCTTCTCCATACAAAAAGAGAATTTTAAAAGATGAGTTTCATTTACAAGATATACGATAACTATATATAATATTTGTCTTTATCCATTTTCTCTAACCTTTGACTTCGTACATAGGGAGTAAGTATACATCTTAATGAAATTATAACTTTTTTTATATAAATATACCAGTCATCTTTCTGAATCTTTATTTATTATTCACTTTTAAGGCATTCTTAAAGCTTAGCACGATATAATTATATAGGCTGTTGTAGAAATGCAACCAGTTGTCCATGATCACTTCTATCCATCGGGTTAAACATTCTAACATTTCGTATGTTATGAAGTCACGAATTGTCTGTTTAGCTTTTGTTTATGTCTTACTTTAATGAACTGGTGTTGTAATCTTTCGGTGACAAGGAATATTCGTGCCCAATGATAAAGATATGTATCCTAAACACTTATCCTAAAACACTAATTTCACCTAAAAATAAAGGCATGATTATTGTCTTTAAGGCTTTCAACTGATGATATCCTTCTTAACCATACAAAAATAGGAACTAAAAAGATGAGTGTTATTTGTATATATGAGTAAATTCTAAAATGTATCTTTATATTTTTCCTCTAACTGTTGGCTTCATTCAAAGAGAGTAAGTATAAATCTTGATTAAATTATAACCTCTTTATATATTCCAGTCGTCTTTCTGAATCTTCATTTATTATTCACTTTTAAGGCATATTTAAAGCTTACCACGACAGAATGCTAGGTTGTTGTAGAAATGCTACCAGTTGTCCATGATTACTTCTATCCATCGGTTTAACAATTCTAAAATTTCATCTGTTATGAAGTCACGGATTGTCTGTTTACCTGACGTTTATGTCGTACTTTAAATGTATCTGTTTGATGCTTCCAACTGATGATCTCTTTCTTCCCCATAAAGAAAGACAAAATTAAAAGATGAGTATTATTTGTATATCAAGTGTGATCCAATATCATCTGTATGTTTACTTTTCCCCTTGTCCTTTGTTCATGGCAAGTATCCATGAAAATCGTAATATATCTTTGTAATATGTCTGGTCATTTTTCAGAATTTGTTTCATGTATTCACTTCTACTCTTTTTTTTCAACTAACCACCTTAGAATGCTTGGGTGTTGTAGAAATGCTTCCACCTATCCATGATAACTTCAGTCCAATTTTTTTCGAAATTTGTATTTGTTGATGTTACTTTGCCCCTTTAGGTAAAAACTACTTTGCCCCTTTAGGTAAAAAGGTAGTTTATGCATGAGAGATTTTATTTTCAATGTTCCCATGTGATCTACCGGCCAGATCAATATACCTTTAAACAAATTGCGCTTTACACATGTTTAAAAGCCAAGTCCTCTCAAGATCATTGACTTTACTTTATCCAATAGAGTTCCATTGGTTCATAAACAAATAAATATGAGCTCATTTTTAGCCAGTGGCGTAGTCAGCTAGAAATGCTAAATCAAGGAAGGACCCCCCACCCCATCAGCCCACCCCCCTCCCCCGACGGAAATGCAGCAAGAACCTTGGCTGCCGGAGATAGCCGGGCATGCGTATTTTTCTTTTATACAAACACGTCCAGCGAGTTTGACGATTAATTCTAATGAACCTGTTCGCAAACAGCCTAGACTCTGTTTTAAACCATTGTGTGTGTGTTTGATTTTGAGAGAGAAAGAACGAGTAAAAGAAAGAACTTAGAGGGAGGGGAAGGGACAATAAGATGGATACATTGACGTTCAAGGAAAATTATGGTGTTGAAAGAAGTCTTACTTTTCATTCGTTGTTTGTAAGGCCCTTACAAATGGGGTAAATAGAAATAAATGAAAACATATTCTTTTTGTCTCAAAAAGTTTCACTTTGTGTTTCTTTCTTTTCATTTTTCCAAGACACGTTGGATTTGTTCAGTGTCTCATATAATATTCTAAAGAAACATTTGTAAGAACAGCGGAAAGTGATTTGAGGATATTTGAGCCTATTCCTCAAGTGTTAATATGTAATACACGTATTAGTTTTATGATATATTTATTCATATTAACAAGGTATATTTCTTATTCAGCAAATGCTTTTTTAATATTGATTTTTTTTTCCTCAAACAACCAGGGGCTCATCTTATAAAGAGTAAAGATCGATTCAAATCAATCGCAACTTGAAATTTAATTGCAACTCTGTACTAAAGGAGAAAGGCGTATGTATTAAATGTGTGCGATTGATTTGTTTAGAGGACTTAAGAAACAAAGTCCAGGTCATCCACCATATGTCTATTTCAGGGGCTTAGCTTGGAAGATTTAGTGTATCTTCTAGGCCAAATTTGTGTTTTTATCCTCACATATTTTTGTTGGTTATTCTTGATCTTCATTATTAAAGATGATACTGATGAAAAAGAGAGAAAAGACGATCAACTGACATCTTTCAAATATGACTCGGGGAGCGATCGGGATGATATTTCCTTCGGTGGCCTTTCGGCACCCCCCGAGATCCTGGCTCGGGGGCCGAGAGCACAGCAAGCGTATGCCGAAGCAGCTAAAGCTGGCAAGAAGAAAGTATTCCGAACGCGCCTGATGCTTGTGGGACAAGAACGTGTTGGAAAGACAAGTCTAAAGAAAACTCTCACAAGACAAGGGTAATCTCTTCATTATCCCTTTATCTCGTTAAGTTATTTTCTCCCTCTCTCTCTCTCTATTCTTCCTTTTTTCTGTCTCTGTATTATGTATTTCTTCCATTCACTTGAGAGAACAAAAATATACAACCTTATTAGTGATTACCAGTTATGTTGACTTAACACTTTATGTTTGGACGCATGACATCTTTTTCCAACATAATAAAGGATCAGGGAGCAAGATAATTTTAATTTGGTTTATTCTGTCTTATCTATAATGAAAATTATTCCATTTGGGAATACTTTCCTTTTTATGATCGCACTTATCTCTTATTTTCTCTTAAGTTGGTAATATAAACATTTCTAATCAGTGAACATGTACAGGAATTATACAGTGTGGTTGTTTGTGATCAATTTTGTGAATGTGCAAATTATGTCTTACAATAATGTGATAACTGTGATTTGTACAACATGTCTACAATGTTTATAATCGTGCTGTGATGTATAAAATTATATTACTTGTTGATCACTTAAGGAAGTAGTGAGATGACACATTAAAACATTGTGCACAATAATTCACTTTTGGAATCTAAATGTAATAATTTTCCTGATTCATTTTTAATTGAAAGGAATTTAATTCATTAAACATCGTTGACATGTATGATGTATCAATATATAGTTTTAACAAACAAAAATGAGAAAATAAAGAATAACATTTTGAAAACATTTCAAACATTTGAAATGTTTAAATCTTTTATTCCAACACTCTGACTTGATAATGGATATCTATGTTAGATTTTATTGAAGGACATCACTTTATATTGTAAAGACGACATAATGATTTTTTTTGTTTTGCTTTTCACTCATTAGAGGGAAATAAATCTTTTACAAAGTATACAAAGTAATGATTTTTTTTCTAAATGATTTACATGTGTCTCTTTTGAGGGGCTATCCAATCTTTATAGCAAGTTGCTTTGAAGGAAAGCAGAACAATTAGACAAACAGATTGGTGAAAGTTTGAACCAAATACATTGAGAGAGGTATGAAGCTTTTGAAAGTCGTAATTTCGTGTAGGGTCGTTTACGGTAACTTCACCATTATGGTACAAACTTAATGTGATATAATTTGCCAATATGAAATTCGATTCAATTAAATAATGTTTGATTAGACATGTTTCATGACAATAAGCCTTGTGTACACAAAATAGAAAATAAAATTAAATATGTGAGGTACTTTAAACAGTAATACATATTGGTGAAATCTTTTCTAATATATATGATAATTAATGCTAAATATATTACTCATTGCGGATGTAGTATCGAAAATAATATCGCTAGTGATATTCGTTTGTCTCGCAATGTGGTCAATAAGGAATCTAAAAGATCACGACGTTTCGTATGCTACTGCGATACTTCGTCAGGTGATAAAAACTATTGTAAGCAAGGGTCTTTTATACTTTACGGGAGGACTGGCGGAGCGGTCTATAATTCGATCGATAATTGGAACAATAACGCCCAATGCTTATTGGTCGACGCACACGGTGATCGACCAATCACCAAGGCCGCTGGTTCGGCCGCTGGTTCGGCTGATGCACCAGGCCTATTGGCCGACGCATACGGTACTCAACCAATCAACGGGCCGCTGGCTCGGGCCGTCTGCTGAATGGAATCGACCGTTGTTGGCTGGCAGGACGGCGAGTGTCATGGCGGCGTATCGTCCGCATCCAAAATTCGGGGATATCGATCCCGTTGTCTCTGTTGAAATTATTAGGATTGAGACGGATATTGATAGCTATATTGATAGCTATATTGATAGCCGTACATTGATGGGGTCTCCCAACAACTCAAGCGCCGCCTAGAGAGCCATGGCATTCGAACGGTTTTCAGATCAGATACCACCCTACGTCAACAACTTACACGCCCCAAGGATCCAATTCCTCCACATAGACGGGACGGCATTGTGTACAACATCCCTTGTAAAGGATGTGATAGATCCTACATCGGTGAAACTGCCCGTCCGATAAAAGAAAGAATCACTGAGCATAAGAGGGACGTCAGACTCCGTCGAACTGACAACTCAGCCGTAGCCGAACATGCTTGGGATAACCAGCATCAACCAGACTGGGACGGGGTTCAGTGCCTTTCCCAGGAACGGCATTGGTATACACGGAGGGTAAAAGAAGCTATCAATATCTGTCTCAATCCTAATAATTTCAACAGAGACAACGGGATCGATATCCCCGAATTTTGGATGCGGACGATACGCCGCCATGACACTCGCCGTCCTGCCAGCCAACAACGGTCGATTCCATTCAGCAGACGGCCCGAGCCAGCGGCCCGTTGATTGGTTGAGTACCGTATGCGTCGGCCAATAGGCCTGGTGCATCAGCCGAACCAGCGGCCGAACCAGCGGCCTTGGTGATTGGTCGATCATCGTGTGCGTCGACCAATAAGCATTGGGCGTTATTGTTCCAATTATCGATCGAATTATAGACCGCTCCGCCGGTCCTCCCGTAAAGTATAAAAGACCCTTGCTTACAATAGTTTTTATCACCTGACGAAGTATCGCAGTAGCATACGAAACGTCGTGATCTTTTAGATTCCTTATTGACCACATTGCGAGACAAACGAATATCACTAGCGATATTATTTTCGATATATGATAATTGTTGCCGGATACAGACGAAATATATTATCAAAGTAACAGATTTAAAGGTGCAAATGATTATAAGCAGTATCAAGAAAATAAAGCACATACTTGAACAAGGTCAGAATAGTATGTACACTGGATATGATCTCTCTCTCTCTCTCTCTCCTTTTTCTTTATTTGGATTACAACCCCATGGGACAAGGTGCTTTATTGACAGAACTGAAATTCATCATATTTTTACGAGGCGGTATATGGGAGAGCTCTTCATCCCAAATTACGTCACAAATTATTTCACAATATGAATTCACTAATTCACCAATTGGAGATTCACATAGATTAAATGTTTTTAACTTAGAAAGAAACTATAATTCATTTATTTATGGGATTTTGTTCATTGTACTCGGATTTGTCTGATTTTACCCAATTCAGGTTGTTGAAAGTTTTGAATACTTTGCGTATGGATATTACTTTTGTGAATCGGAATAAAAATGTGTATATACCATTATCCCTAATATTATTATTATTTTTATTATTCTAATTCTATTATTGCTTCAGATTTGATGAAAATGAGGCAATAACGGACGGTGTAGAAGCAACAGACGCATGTGAAATTAGCATTGAGGTTGCAAAAGCTGGCGAGAAAATGTGGTCAATTCACAAGAAAGGACATGAGAATGAAGATAACAAGGGTAAGTACAATTTGAAAAAATATTTTACCTTTACTATAAAAAAAAATAGAAATTATCTGCATGATTATATCTTTATTACTGACATTATGAATTGTTAAAACTGGTTGTGACAAATGACAATGGAAACACTTTTAAATCAAGACTTAAAGCGTATGTTTTCATTTTAATATCTTAATGTTACCTTTCGTAAGCACATATAAGCTCTGGTTTATAAATGTCTTTTACTGTTGTTAGGAATTTATTCCTTGAAACGCAGCGCGCGTAACAGCTGCACTGCTAAAACCAGGGTAATTATGCTGCATTATTGTAGAGCGCTTAGAGACTTCTGACAAAGTAAGTGTTAGGCGCTATATAAGCACTGTAATTATTATTATTATTATCGTTCTCATTATTATTGACATTGCTATTGTTTGCATTAGCATCACTATTATCATTATCATAAATACTGTTTGAAACATTTCCTGACATAGCAATCACTAAGTTATAATTCTTGCGGTGGTTATAAAGATAAAGGAATTGAACTAAATTGTCATTGCCATTCATATCACTGTTTTTGTATTGCTTTGTGAATATCAAATTATCGAAATTGATTAATAAACTGCAAAGTATTTGGGAACAACCTTCCCATTGCCTTTACAAAAATATATTTTAAACAAATCAATTTATTCCACAAGCTTCTTTTCCCGAAGGTGGTGCCAGAAGCATTATGTTTTTAAGTTTTCCGTCCGTCCGTAAGTCCGTCCCGCTTTCTAGATAATGCGATATCTTAAGAACCACTTAAGAATTGAGGCTCAAACTTAGCGACAATATGTATCACCATAGGAAGACGATATCAGTAGATTTGTTTGTAACTAGGTCAGAGGTCAAAGGTCACAGAGGTCAACCTATACAATTCCAGCTATCAGCCTTGTCATTGCAACATTTCTTGAACCACTAGAGATATTCAAACTCAAACATAGTGATTATAAGTATTACCATAGGAAGACAATCTCATCAGATTTCGGGTAAAAAAGGTGAAAGGTGAAAGGTCACAGAGGTCAATTTCTGAAATTACAGGTTTTAGTCTTGCTATTGAGATATCAAAAACCACAAGAGATAGGCATTTTTTTACATTGTGATATGTCACAAATAATTCCATCCATTTTGTATACTGAATTTAGGGTGGAGGCATAAGGGAGACGCAGTCGCATTTGTCTTGTTATTCTTCTTATGGATAGCATGTTCTTAGAATTCACTGAAACATATCCTTTTTAGCCATAAGTTTTTGAAGACAATTATATTTCAGTCAAGATGTATATTAGAACAATTAAATGAGTTGCATCACATCACATCATATGTCTAACCAGGGGCGTAGACAACGGGGGGGGGGGGGGGATGAGGGGGATGCATCCCCCCCCCCCCACCTCACAAGGTGGGGGGGGGGGGGGTGGCATGTACAATCATCCCCCCAGGTTTTGGGGAATGATATTTGCTTACTTAATAAGTCATAATGATGATAATAATAGTAATAATAATAATAATGATAACAATTATAATATTTATAATAATAATAATTATGATGATGATAATAATAATCCTCATCATTATTGTAATTGTGTTTATTGTTATTAGCCGCATTCACACGGTGAAAGCCAATTCAGACGGTAAAACCCCCCCCCCCCCCCCTTGGGCGCCCCCCCCCCCCTAAAAAAAAAAAGAAAACAAAAAGAACGCACGCTGGAGAGAAACCCTTTCAAGTGCAAATATTGTGAGAAGATTTTCAACTCATCTGGTAACTTAACCAAACACATGATAACTCTGGATATAACTGTGTATTTAACTGTTACTTGATTTAAAAAGACGTTATCATGCACTGCTTTTTATGGTCTCCATTGTGTTAATAGATGCCAGGAAAACATCACTTACGGGGTTCAAATATAAAAAAAAAAAAAAATCGGCTCGCGGCTCGTGGACGATGCTCCGCATCGTCATTATTTTGGTCAACCCCCCCCCTTAGCAAAAAGCTAGATCCGCCCCTGAGTCATCCCCCCAGGTGTACGAACCTGTCTACGCCACTGTTTCTAACTATCTGGTAATTTGTAACTTCCTATAAAGACAGAATTGCACATCAAATCTAATATTACAATTAATTTAATTCATGATACAAGAGTAGAATATATTATGATCATTTACTTTCACAGAGGATGAATACAAAAAAGCTCTTGCGGATGACATAGCAAAGAGGCTGACCGTGAACCCTCAACAGGTAATTATTTCCATCTAGGTGTTGTTTCTCTGATTTGAGGTAAACCCGTTAGAGAGAATGAAATGTCTTTCGTACTTGATGATAGACATCCAAAAAAATAAATGTTGTCCAAAATTGTGTTCAATGAATTCGATATCAATATACCTGAGTAGTATGTAAAGAATGATCATTTTATGGGCTGTCCGAGAATACAATGCACTACAGTATATCGAGGATGCTGTTTCCTTTGCATTTTATTCATGATGGTATATTTTGATTATTTGTATTAGTGCATTGCAGTATTCAAATACTCTAGCACATGTATTAGCTGTCTGTGTGCATAAAGTGTGTCAAGTACTTAGTCAATCATACTATTAAACAATAAATTGCTCTAGACCAGCCTAGGATGACAATGTAAACAAACAAATAGTGGGATTATTTCATCAATCACTTAAACAAATAAGTCCGAGTTGCTATTTGTAATGCGGCTAGTGCAAGCTCAATGATTGCAATCTTGACTCTTTTTTGTGTGTACAGGGTCAAGGAAGTTTTGAACCACACAGCAGAGGTCTGAATCAAGAAGAAGAAGGTTTGTGTATATGTTTTTGTTTAGCTTTAATTTGTTTGTGTTTTTCTTAACTCTAGATCAATCCTTATATCATCTTCCGTGATATATAAAGTATTAGTATAATACAAAAAGTTGATGACAAATATTTTACTTCTTAAAACTGCTTTTAAAGTGTTTTCACATAATATTTTTTCATAACTCAATGCACAATTTAAAATGCTACCAATTCTGACCTGAAAAATGTCAGCTACGTGAAATATTATCTCAACAATGATGATAATGGTATTAATAGTCACACTTGTAGGCCTATAGATGGTAGAACGATAGTGCACATGCTCCACTCCCTGATGAGTATTTAGACCAGTCGCCATTTTACAAATGCACACGTGCCAATCCAACCACAGTATATTTTGATTCTTTGCAATACTGGTATATCTTTAGCTCTGACGTTTTGATTTTTTGAACCTGACAATTGAGGAAAATAAAGCACTTTTATCTGAAAACTAAAAGCATATAGATTTTCAGGCACATAGTGTTTATGCTTTAAAATGTATTTTATTTGTATTGTTTTTTTTCTTCTTATTGTCATTATTATTGTTTTTATCATCATTATTATTACTATTAATAGTATAATTATTATTATCATTGTAGTTATTTCGCAATATCTCTGCTTGATCTATGATGGTTATACTGATGGGGATTTTACATATACACTCCGGAGCCCGGAGTACAATAACATATATTGGGAATTTTCGGCCAGTGTCCGGCCGGTTACCGTAAAGTTCCTACGGGCGCCGGGACAGTTTTTTTTAAGCCTTACGGGCGCCTCGATGCTGAGTTGGCTGCTCCCAATTCTCCCGGCGTTTTTATCTGACTGTTGGGCCGTAAAAAGCTCGTAAAGGGCCCGTGGAGCACCTTACGGGTCCCGTGCGGCCCCATCACGATTTTCTGGGCAATGAACAATCTTTACGGGTGCCTTGCGGTGCTCAAGGGCGCCATACGTTTACCCTACGGCTCCCTCACGGGCCCCTCGAGATCCCCGGGTGATATGCAACACACCGGGCGTCTGCCGTCCGGGGGCCATTTGAAATGAATATTGCCCGTGCGGGCCCCTCACGGCGGCATCTCAAAGCTTACAAGACAGCTTTAAATACAGGAGGTGCGGATGTCAGAGGACACATCGTTCAGAACACCGCACGGCACCCGGCTGGGCCCCGGCAGGGCTTCTTCTGGGAGTCATGGGTGCACCTGCTCATCAGATGGAGCCCGTAAGCTCACCGGCAGGCACCCAGCGGGCACCCTGCGGACACCCTTAGAGGCGCCTTGCATTTCACTCATCCGATTTTCACCGGGCACCTCCCGGGCGCCGCAGAATATGTGACCACACATGCAGTATAAATGACATTCGGAAGGTTCCCGTACGGTCTCTAAATCCACGGCAAGCCGCCGGGTATGGAGAATCGTACGGGGCCCGGTTCATATGTTATCTAGGCATAAGGGCAAGCTACAATATGTAGCCATAAGCCTCTAATAATTTTTTTCGCATCAGTCTTGCGGTACCAAGCAGACCTGCTCCCTAAAGAAGTTCTATCTTTTAAGGTAACCCCGATTTTATTCAGATGCTTAGGAAGATTGCTTTCTCAGTAATCCTAGCATCACCAGGCGCAGCTAAATCTAGTACGATGGCCCAACCACCACCATTTCTTGGTATTTCACAGCTTACCAGTTCTCCTCCTAGGTCTTGATTTCAATCTGTTCCTTCTCTTTCTCAGTTATCTTAGCATCACCACGCGCAGTTATATCAATTACGATCCATTGGCTCTTTTGTCCACTACTAGGATCTATCGATCTGTCTAGATGTTAAAACCCCAGAGCAATTTTTTGTCAGGATTTTTTTACCATTTTCCCTGGCTCATGATCATATCCCTTGTCTGTAGCTTCAAGTCAATTGTTGACAATGATCCAGTGTATGAATCTGGATGCATTGCTGTGTCGTTGGAGGTACTCAACCTGCGCCGTAAAACCGCATTTACTGTTCAGATGACCTGCTGTCTCTCCCTTTGTTCCACATATTCTGCAGAGTAGGGACACATCATTTTTTCTCAACTTTCGCCTTGAATGCCTTTGTCCTCAGTGCTTGATCTTGAGCCGCAGTGATAAAACTTCCTGTCTTTTTCATATCATTAGTATTATCAGGTGGGCTGTATCTAATACAGAACACCTTATAATTTTGTTACAATTGCCTTTATTTATTATTTATTTATTTATTCATCAGGTGGGCTGTATATCGTACAGAACACCTTATAATTTCGTTAACATTGCCTTTATTATTTATTTATTTATTAAATATTTTTCTTATTTCTAACCACTTTTTTGTTGGCAAGATAACTTAAAAATGGCTCGATCAAATGCCTTGAAATTTGGCACACATATGTATAGGCATATGTACAAAGCACAATAACGCTTTCAACATTGACCTTCACTGATGACGTCATCTAGGCGCCATTTTGTAAAATTTTACGAAAATCAACTCATGATCATATCTCCATAACCAAAAGGTATTTCTCATTCATATTTACCATGATCAAGGTCAATATCCGTCCGGTCAATTGCAAGTCAAATAACGCGCGTGTGCGCGTATATCCGCGCGTCAATACGCGCACAAAATTTTTAAATGCTAAAAATCGTCTCAAAATCATTTTGCATACGTTTAACCCTAATAAGGCCGGGGGGGGGGGCCATTATGGCCCCCCCCCCTCCACGATTTTTCTGATTGTTCGAGAACGCATATGGATGGCGCCTCGCCGCTCGCTGACTTTTTTCTTTAGAGTCTTGCGCATCTTTAAAAAAAAAAAAAAAAAAAATCGGACCTATAGTTACAAGGTCACGTGACCTTTTGTCTTTGCATGTCAGCCCGAAAATCGCTCATTTTTGTGATTTGTGTACAAAACATATGGAAATGTCATTTTTCCTATAAATAGATCAAACATTGGTTATTGGGTCTTGTTTAAAGTTTAGGTGGTTGTTTTGGGAGTCAAAATAGTTGAATTGTAGGAAGAAATGAAAAAAAAAAAAAAACAATAACATAAATAAGTTAAAAAAACAATGAAATACATAAGAAATTATCAAAACAAGAGATAACATAAGGAATAAGCTGGCTCTTCCAATTTTTTTTGTCGTATTATTGTTCCAAATGGTCTAATGAATATATGTAGTGAAAAAGAATGCTTAAATATGAATAATATAGGATTTATGGGTAAAAATGTGATTTTATGACGTTATTTGCATAAATTACCATAAATATGCAAATGAGGGATTTTTTTCAAAAAATTGAAATTATCATATTGTTCTATACACTTCACTTGACATGCGTGCAAATTTTCGCGGAGATCGGCCGTTTCACGGCCGAGATCTTAGGGGGGGGGGGGGCCATAATGGCCCCCCCCCCCCGGCCGTAGTAAGACTTCAAATAGCCCGGCCTTATTAGGGTTAAGGCCATTCTAAGCATTTTATACAAAAATCGCGCACACGCGCATGCGCGCGCGTTAAACTATTGCACAACATAGAATCGCCTTTTTTTTTTCTTTCATAAAATTCCACATATATTTACAAACAAATTGATACCATGTTTGTCTCTTTATGACTATTAAAAACGGAATGATCGACCGTTTAACAAAAATTTCCGTGCGCGCGAGCTCTTGTAATACATAGCATATATGGGCAAAAACATGCCTATACAAAATCCATTGTAGCCCTTTAGGATGCAAGGTGACCCCAATTTTGTTTCATATTTTAATAGAGTATGATTCAGAAATATTTTTTGATGTCTCATTTGACCCTCAAGTAACTCATGACGTCATCATAATGGCCTACGAACTCAAAATTCCAATTTGCATATTATGACGTCAGCATATTTATGGAAAATTGATTGTATCTCTGTAAATATTGATTGATTTTCTTCCAAATTTTGATATGTACTAGCTGATACAATTTTCTACAAATGCAATGACTACTATTCTTCATTTTGACAAAGGCATCATGGCATATTTTTGAGATTTAAGGAGGCATGTCAATTTTTCACATTTTGCGTGTATTCTCGATGGGACATGACTTTTTCTCAAAACTCGATTCTACATTCCCGTCTTTCGCGAGCAATATCTACGTCGTTATAGCTTCATTTACGCTGAACTTCGAGTATGTTGTAGCTGAGACAAAAACCTTTCTCAAATGTACCCTTTATTTTGTCTCAATTTTGTGTTGGATCAGCCCACCTATACTTGTTCCAAACAAGTATTACAAATCTAGTTTATTTTTCTTATTTCGACCCACTTTTTTGTTAGCAAGATAACTTTAAAATGGTTAAATTAAATGCTTTGATATTTGGCACACATATGTATAGGTATATGGACAAAACACGGTAATGTTTTCAACCTTAACCTTGATTGATGACGTCATCTAGGCGCCATTTTGTGAAATTTTCTGAAAATCAACTCATGATCATATCTTCATAACCAAAAGGTATTTCTCATTCATATTTATCATGATCAAGGTCAATATCAGTTCGGTTAATTTCAGGTCAAAAAACGCGCGCATGCGCAAAAATCCGCGCGTCAGTGCGCGCGCACATTTTTTAAATGCTCAAAATCGTCTTAAATTTATTCTGCATACGTTTTAGGTCATTTTAAGCATTTTATAAAAAAATCGCGCACACGCGCAGGCGCGTGCGTTTTCGCGCGTAACTCCATTACACAACATAGCATCGCCATTTTTTTCTTTCATGATATTTCTCACAATTTTTCGAGGAATATGATACCATGTTTATCTCTTTATGACCATTTATAACAAGATGAGCGTCAATTCAATATAAACGACCGTGCGCGCGAGCTCCCTTAATACATAGCATTTATAGGCAAAAACATGCCTATACAAAATCCATTATAGCTCTTTGGAATGAACCGTGACCTTCAATTTTTTTTCATATTTAGATAGAGTATGAGTCGGAGATATTATTTCATGTCTCATTTGGCCATTAAGTGTATCGTGACATCATCATAATGGCCTTCGAACTAAAAATAGGAATTTGCATATTATGACGTCAGCATATTTCTGGAAAATTGATTGTATCTCTGTATATATTGATTGATTTTCTTTAAAATTACGATATGTTGTAGCTAAGATAATTCTCTACAAGTTCAATGTTAATCATTTTTCATTTTGATGACGTCATCAGAGTGAATATTTTGATTAAAGGCCTCATGTCAGACATTTCATAATTTGCGTGTTATGACTAAAAAGGTGAATTTCGTTCACGTAATGAATCTACATGATAGTTTTTTATAAGAATTTTTAAGCAGTATTTCGCTTAATTTTGCTCTATTTTGTTTTCAAATTTTAGTTGACCAGCCCACCTATACTTGTTCCAAACAAGTATTATATGTCTAGTTATTCTTATTATTATTATTATTACTAATATTTCTTCGGGTGTCCTTTCTTCGTCCAGTCCCAGGACCTGTCACACTTTCATCAACTGACCATGTAGTGGCTTAGCCTTTCAATTCTTCAGACTTCCTTCATACGTCCATGTAATAGGTGTCCTATTCCAGTACACCAATATATTTGCAGTCATCTTTTTCCACTGATATCATCTTGCGTCCATGAGGCAAGGTGATTCCATCATTCTTCTCAACCTTCACTCTCTTTAGTATGAGAATTTCACACCTCTCGAGTCTAAACTCCATTCCAATGTCATCACTGAACACATGGATTATGTTCAGTAGTGAGTCCACTTCCCCATCATCCTTCCCGTCGAGCTTTATGTCAACCATGGACATCAAGTGATTGAGAGTCTCAGACTCCTTGCCTAAGGGATATTGTCTTTCCGAGGTATCAGGAAGATGGAAATTGCTTCATTCAACAGTTTTTTAACATAAGTGGAAGGCATGTCATGGGCCTGAAGTTATCCACATAGTTTTACAAGGAGGGATTCTTCATGCACAGTATTGCTTGTTCACTAAGGTACACTACCTGTTTATTTTTTTTCAGTTCGGATATAGTCTTGAATGATTATGATCAAAATAGTCACATTCGAACTTTTGAAGGCCATTTTTAGGTGGTAGAATGATAATGCACATGCTCAATTGACCAGGCGCCATTTTACAAACGCACACATGTCAATCCAACCACTCTAACGTTCGCATCCTTCTTGGTACCCATTCAACACCTGGGCGGAGTGGCATATGTAGATTAATTATAAAAAAATTAAAAAAAAAAAAAAGTCCTACAAAAACATATATGTATTTCTTCTTTCTTACAGACGAATCTGTCTTCGATAGTGTGGAGGCGCCCAAGGCTGAAGTGAAGGGTGAAAATATGCCGAATCGAATAGCAAGTCTGGTGCGGAAAATGCTAAAGAAACTGGTTCACAGAAAGGTAAAATTCCTGTTTTTAACCTTGCATCTTTATGTGGTTTAGTCAGTCATGCAATGACACAATGAATTACTCTAGACCAGTCCAGCATGACAGAGTAAATGCAAAAAAGGTTGAGTGTAACCGTCTCACCAACCACTTTGAAAAAAGTAGTTCTAATTGTTTATTGTGATGCCGATAGTGCAAGCTGCTCGATGATAATCTTAATACTGGTTTATTTTGTGTACAGGATCAAGAAACTTTAGAACCACACAGAGGCCTGAATCCTTCAGAAGCAGGTTTGTGTTTTTGTTTGTCTTGTTTTGTGTTATTTTAGTTGGTTTGTATTGTTTGTTTGATTTCTTACCAGTCGATCAATCCTTTATTGATCATTCATAATATATGCAATATCAATACAAATTGATAAGAAATATAATCCCTTTAAAATGTTATCACAAAACAATTGTTATAACCCAGTAATCAATTTTGACTTGTTAAATGTCAGTTACATGAAATATTCTCACAATATTAATGTTATGTTATTATTACATATATGTATTTGTCCTTTATTACAGAAGAATTTGTCTTGGATAATGTGGAGGTGCCCACAGCTAAAAAGGAGGATGACAATATGCCAAATCAAATAGCAAGTCTGGTGGAGGAAATGCTTAAGGAACAGGTTCACCTAAAGGTAGAATTCATTTTTTAACCTTGTATCTCCATGTGGTATAATATGTACACAATTTTCTACAATGCCTTTGTTTTATCCTAGAATCTTATGTTTGACCTAATGTATGTTTTGATCTCACTTGTATTTGTATTATTATATGTGCATGATATATTGAATAAAGAACTGATTTATAATTTATGTGTTTATTATAACTGTTGTTTAATATTGTTTAATGAGACATTGGTGCGCTTAGAGACACCCTTATTAAGCGCCTGATAAATGTTGTGTATTTTTATTATTATTATTATTACAGTTAATGGTATCATCGGATTATGGTGTGTTTCCACAAGAGTTTTTAACGGCAGATACTCCATTAGACCCTAAAAAAAAAGAAGAGATGGAAAGTAACAGTATTTCAAAATCCAAGAAAACATACATATTAGCATACCAGCTGTTCTCAACCTTATTTTGTGTCAGGAGTGGGGTGAAAATCTATGTTTTATCTTAAGGGACATAAGAGTGAGAAAGATCTATCAAGGAAAGGAAGAAAAGTTGCCTTTTTTAACAGGTTTCCATGGAGAAAAAAAAACTTGCGAATATATAAACAGGATTCTTAATGGCCATATGCTTACTGGATGTTTTGGATAAAGTTGTTTTGTTATTGTCTTCAGGATCAGTACTGATGTTCCTATTAATTTTTGTAAAATGTTGTTGTTGCCAATTGTTCATATGGATGTGTATTCATTTACCTCATTCCTCAGGAGATAGGAGCAGACAGGACTGATAGCGGTAGAGGAGAAGGAGTCTCCCTAAGTATATGGGACTTTGCTGGTCACGACATATACTACTCAACCCATCAGGTAAAATAACATTTTAAGAACATTAGATTCCCTGTAAATTATACCGTGGTACCATGAAAGCAAATGTGTAAAGTATTGTTAGTTTCTATAGAACAAATCGAATACATTGTATTGATTACAGTCTCCCATATATCCATTATGGCTTTCTTGTCCTAAATCTTTGATATTTCTCTGATCAGTTTCAGTGTAGATATCTCATTCTCAAAGAAATCACTGTCTCAATATAAGCTTCAGTTCAGGGCATATGGATTCGTGTACTTTTAGTATGCACAGCTGGTGGCCTACATATTAGTTTTTACCATACATTTTATACAGGTGCATTAATGTGTGGTCCAGTCATAGATGGAAAGTCATGCCCAGGGTCTAAATGTGTACTTCTTTTATTTATTTGATATTCCATTGTAGGAGAACAAACTTCACATAAGTAAGATTGCTGGCTTCTTGTTATATAATAAAGTGAAGAAATATGCTTTAAACTGCAAAAACCTAAGAACTATGTCTTAATTTTGTAATGTTATTTCTTTTTCAACAAAACTGTATTATTTCTTTGACCTGTCACTATCACAGAGTTGTCTAGGAATTGGTAATATGTATGCAATTGATAACGGCTACATCAGTCAGTTTTTTCCAAAGAAGCTTTGTCTTGGGTTTGAAAAAAAGGATATTGCAGTTTAGAGACCTCTTGCCCTTACTGATTGATTGTACTCCCTATAAATACATTTAACAACTAAATTATTCATACCCTTATCAAGTTTTCTTATTTTTAGGTACGTACACAAATAATTTGTCAAGATGTATGTTTCCTGAGAATGTGACATATTGAAGCTTACATCTAAAAGTATTTAACAAAGGCCTTAATTCAACCAGTCCACATTGCATTCATGAGTTACGAACAACACACACACACACAAACACACCAAAGAGTATGAATCATTTAGTTGTTAATCGTATATAAACAGTGCCTGAGGTTCTTTATTATTATCGAAAATATTAGAGCATATAGATATAACATAGCATTGTAGTTATTCAATACTTATGCATCACTTGTATTCTCTTCTCCTGTAGGTGTTTCTGACGTGGCGAGCTATTTATGTGATTGTCTTTGATCTCAGTAGAAGTTTGGATTCTGTCGTTCCCCCTGAATCCAGAGACAAGAATTATGAAATGGTATTTTTTTCTTTTATTTTATACTGCTTAGCAAAAATAAATTATGCTTTACAGGGGATAGATAAATGTTAAATAGTGTTGTGCGTTCTTTGCCAAACATCAGTTATTTTCCTAAAGTTATTTTGTAAAGTTTTACTTTTGCTCATCATTCATTAATCGTATACAATGTGTTTTTAAAGTATAGATAGTATGTAAAGCTCTTGTTCTTTTTGACTATTTTTAAACGTAAATTTAACCTGTTTCCGTCTGGATTAATACTTGTGTAAATTGTTGGTACGATTAAATCAGTGATATATTAAACTTTGTTTTCCTTCACTTTTCAGAGCAGGGTTTTGAGATTACATAGTTGACATTTCTATCTCTTTGAAAGTCTCTGTTCGAAAATACACGTAGGCCTACAATGTCATCCTACCAATCACGTCCACACTTGGGCATGACATTAAAATGATCAGCTTTTGAGAAGAAAAAAAAAACATTTAGCAACTGTAATGTTTTACCAATTTAATATCAAGGATTACTGCTATTTCTCTTCATGATTAATGTACCATCTCCGCATGTCATCTTCTCATACATCTTATTTCATCCCTATTCTTTAATGAATTCTAATTCTCTTACTGTAGCATAAATTATTTTTCCTTAATATCCCTTTTGTATATACAGTAATTATGGAGTAGTAAAAAGGATTGCCACGGTTCAAGCTTAGTTTATGTTGCAAGCCTTCTTCATGATTAGTTTATGGTAGTATTACAATGTAAGTACATAACTATGATAATGTATTAATTATATGATTTGGATATCATGCTGTAATCGGTTTGTTATTTTGGAAAACACTGAAGATAAATAAACCAATAAATCCTTCCACAACTTTAAAAAAAAATATGTTGGACGCAAGGAGTGGGACATGTATGCGTTACCCTACTCTAATGATAACCAAATATGATTTTTCTGTGTGTTTTATCGTTGGCCTTACCATGCATACCTCTTTACAATTAAAACGCAGGTTAAAGGAGGTGCCAAATCAGAACTGACATGTCTAGAGTTCATCAATTTCTGGTTGTATTCCATCTACGCCCATGCTGTGGCGCCGTCTTCAGTCATAAATAAGAATTCGCGGTCTAAAACCGCCCAGAAATCTCCACCAATATTCATCGTTGGTACGCATCGAGAAAGTGTGAAAGGAGATGCAAAAGAGAAAAGGGAAAAGGTAATGGTTTATGATATAAACGTGTGTTTATAATGAAGTAACAATTTTGTTTACCCCACCTGTTCTTTTTCGCGATCAGCACACAGCATATTCTCAGATAGGCCTACCCTTGATACTCGATTTACACCGACTAGACTGACACCAACACGACAAATATCGAACAAAAAGTACCATACCCTGAGTTAAACTGAACGCTTTAGTTTCTGATATCAACGGTTGTTCCGGTGCGACTCCATCTGGCCAGACCGAGATGAATGAGATGCTACAATGTGTTTACTCTTTACATCTTCACATATACATTTTGGCTGCAAAATTACACTTTCTGTTATTTTAAAAAATAACAAAAACTGAAATATATATTTTAACTTACTATAGCTTGCTAAATTTAATAGCTCCTACATTTAACTTTTAATTGTTTTGCATTGATTATAACTTCAAAAATGTAATATTTGTATACAGATTTTGTTCAATTCTTCACTGATCTGTTTGTCGCATTTTTCCCCTTGTATTAAAACCAATGAGATATCATGGTGTACTTTAATTGCGTTATGCTATTTCGTATCGGCATTCTCTAATTGTGCATAGATTATCGTGTTCTCATCTAAAGTGAGGTATGCATGCATGTTCGACATTATGACTAATATTTGTATTTTCTGTTCATTTCATTCTTTTGGTCTTCTAGATCGGCTCTGCCTTTAAGAAGATCCGTGAATCTATCATGGAGAGGCCGTTTCAATGCCATGTGGTTCCCGAGTATTATGCCATTGAAAACAGCTTAAAGGACAAAGACGATATGGTACATCATAAATAATCATCAACTTTCATAATTTATATTAACCTGTAATAAAAGAGTGTTACTGATTATCTATCAAATCCAGTTGCATCCAATCCAAAATGTAAAATTACTTTTCCTTGCAGTTATGAAGTGCTGCTCAAATTGATCCACATCTTTGGACTACTTTAAAAATAATATATCACTTAAAAAAGTTAAGCTAATGCAGTCCATTGTTCTGTAACAAAATACAAAAAACAGCTTGGAGTCATGGGACGAAATATGATGGATTTTAGACTCAGGGTTATTTTTGGTCTTTAATATTGTCCCAATCGTTTAACTATGGCCTATTTTAAGATGTTTTTTTCATACACAAAGAGCTGACATAACCATCTACTAATATCTGACTTTTTACTAAATTGTTAAAAGCTGGTAACTCTGCAAATTAGGTGTGTATTCCTTTTGACATCTAATCTCAATATGATTCTAAGATAATGTCCAAAACATTTCAATGCAAGTTACCATGAAGTTATTTAGATAAATAATATTTCCTGTAATTTAATCGACTGCGCATAAATATTAAGGTAGTTCATATTTATATATAGTGCAATTGATTTCCATTCACTGTGCTCGACGAAAATCAATTATAGGCATTTACTCTTAACCTAAAATCAAATGGCATTGGTATTCATTTTTTGTAGAAAAATTGACACGAGCTGTTGGCTTCATGCTTTAATTGTCTCGGGTAATAATACAACTGTACAAATATGTTTGTTTATATACAATCAATGTGGAAGAGAAATATCACTTCTTTCATTACCCATTGGCAATTCTTTTCCAAATTGATGCGCTACATCTGTGCAATTATTCCCTCTGTTACTCTAGAGTGATATTTTTGTGCAATTAGCTTAATATTCCTGAACATGCTCAATTGAATTTATCATTGAATATTAAATGACACTTCCTTAACACATTGCTTACTGGAACCTGGTGGTCCATGTGTTAAGCCTATGGGATTAGATAATTCAGTAGCCAACGTGTTAATTATTTATCCACATCTTCGTAACATTTTTTCTGAATCTTTCCTAATATTACTGTGTGATGTAATCCCAATGTTATTTGATTATATTGCTGTTGTATTTTGAAGTTTTTATTATGATGTAAATATCATGTGCTGCATGTCACGTTACAAAAACACACCAATAATGACTTTCCTTTGTAGCTGGTTGCGTTGAGGAGACACATTGAGAGAGTAGCGATGACAGAGCCTTACATGGGAGAAGAGATTCCACTCAGATGGCTCTTATTTGAGGAAGCTCTAGCTGCACATGAAATCAATTACATGTCATTAGATCAGGTAGGACTGCAACGTTAATTCTTGTCATTCTCATGTAATTTGCGTTCGGTTTATTGTAGTAAAAGAAAATTGGAGATCAATTGTATATATGCAGTTCATATTTTAACTTCAAGTTTTAACAACCTAGTTGGGTTTTATTCCTTTAAAAATTTGTTTTTCTTTTAAATTTTTCATTTGTTGGTACTGAATTTTCTAACAAATTGATTTATGTATTTCATTTTCAAGGAAAATTAAGTTAAGTCCTTATTTCATTTTTTCATAGCTACTACAACTCTCCTGGTATTGTTGAAAATATGTAATGCTACTTTAGTTAAATGCATCCATCAGTCACCTTTCAAGTTTTTAAATGGCCCAGACCGTGCCTGTTTCAATAAATGGATGTAGTCCCTTTCAAAATTTTGGCAAAGATTCAGGCTACGTGTTGCATTCTGTAACAGATTTGCTTCATTAATATATTCACATTCTGTGTATGCCCTGTGTAAATTGAATCTACTGTTACTGTTACGATATTATTCATTTGATAGCTACTGGTTGTGATGTTTTTCACGAATCATATGATGATATTGAAGCCATTTGTTGCATTCTCCCAGACCAAGGAACTGACGCAGTCATTCGGGATGGAATTAGAGCATGAACTTCTCACGATGCTGACCTTTTACCACGATCTGGGTAATGTAGTCTACTACGGAGGCATCGAAGACCAGCATTCTCTCCTACAAGACATGGTGATCCTGAATCCCCAATGGCTAATTGATGTCTTCAAGCAGGTCATTACCATCCTGGATCCCGCAAAAAGAGTGAGAAACCCTCTCTGTTACAACCTCATTCACTCTTGCTGCAGTAAGCTGCAGCATTTTTTTTTTATATAACGAAATGAATGGGAATTGGGCATTCAAAAGTAATCGCGTACCACAATGGTCCTATGCAGTCTGTCATACAAGACATCGTAGGAGAACATGTGGCTAATTGATGTATTCGAGCAGGTCATTATCATCTTGGATTCTGCAGAAAGGGTGAGAAACCTTCCCCTCCATGTGTGATCATATTCTTGGTTTACATAGAGCGTAACACATCAAATGGATCATTTCCCCCGGCATCGGATTTAGACACACATTTTATCCATGTGTTAAAAGATAGACAACTTAACAACATTTAGTGGTAAACTGTGGCACTATGACCTGAGTGAACATTGCACTAACTAAGTCTCTTGAGAGACATAGTTTTAGAGTATTGATACAAATGATTAGACATATTATTTATAATATTGAAGTTACAAATCTCTTTCTTCACAAAGCAGAAATAGTTTACAATCTCTACTCCTATGTCCAGTTATTCCAACTGTGTTTTAATTCCAGGATGGGATCGTGAGTGCTGCTTTGGCCACTCTTGAGAAGGATGGTATCTTAGAGGATAGGTTGATTCAGCATATGTGGCAAGGCTTTTTGGAGAAGAAGGAGGCCTTAGTCGAGCTCATGGCCAAGTTTGATCTCATCTGTGAGGCTCCTGTAGAACGACTCCAGCAGGATGGAGTAGACACTGAGGTAAAACCTCCAGCTAAATGGTGCTCCGCCCCGTACTCCCCCAGCAATGACCCGGGTTTTATGTTATCATAACTATAGGCTTAGGTTTATGGTTACAATCTGGTATGTGGTTAAGGGTTAGGGTTAGGACATATGTTTTGGTCCATTGCTGCACTTATTAGGTTATAAATTAGATTAGGGTAGGATATTACATCAAAATCAAATATTAGTGTTTCACGTTAACCTCGTTGTTTCACGTTAATATCAGAAAATTGTGACTAGAAATATACGAACAATATAGGAGCAAACAAGGGACATGTACCAGCTTTGGTAATTGTGCAAATATTGACTCAGGGTTGAAACAGGGTACATAATGTACTTCTTTTGAATATTCTTTAGTTTGAATAACGTAATTTGTTTTTATATTTGCATACATGTTCCTTAATATTAAACAAAATTTGTTTTGTGCTGTGAAATGTAGGGATTAAGGACAGTTTTGAAAGCTTTTACAAATAGTACAACAAATGTTTATTTCTGAAAATTGAAATCAAAATTGCTCTATAATGTCGATGTTGTTCTGAAACTTGCCACAATTTAGTGGCAGGGGTGGAATGTGTGAATTTTGTTGACGAGTGAAATATTAACTGCTTTGTTTTTTTGCTTAGATTTCTCGAAATTTAATTTGTTTTGTATCTTGTTATATTTTGTTTTGTATTGATGGTTTAAGTGTTTGGATATGTTTTGTATATGATAGGTATCAAATGAAACAGAGAAGGTGGTAAAGAAGCGCTACTATGTTCCTTCCAGACTGACGTCCCCTTGCCCCTCAGAAGAGATTGCACAGATCACATCTTCCACAGACTTTTATGTGGACTTCAGAGGCTTCTTACCAGGTGAGGATAAATTTATCATCTGTTTACAGCCAGAATGGTGTTAACAAGTGTAATGTATCGTAGAGTGAATGCCCTTCTTGCTTCAAAGAGAGTATATTGCAATTCGATTGCAACAAGGTTTGTATGACGTCAAACCTGTATAAGTGGCCACCTGTCCAGAAAGGCCATACATTTTGTCTGCCTTGAGAAAGAAATGTGTGTCCTGAAAGACCACCTGTCTACAGTGGCCACTTGCTCTATTTTCTATTGAGTTGCCTCAATAGACAAGTTTGACTGACCTTAATAGGTTCTTGCCAAAGATGACCCATGTATCCAAAGTAAACTAGAAGTTCACTATGTCCAACTCACGGATAAATTTAAAAATTATAGGATTGGCTTCAACCTTGAGTAGAAAGATGGTAAGCTACAGACTATTTCTAATATTTGTTTGTATCAACATTTTCTACAATATTCGTTTTTTTTTCTTTAATTCGAATGATAATATCAATATTGAATTATTTCAGAGTGCACATATCCACCACGCAAGTTGCTCAATGTGCTCTAATATTACCCCAGCTCTTCTGGGCTACTTGATGTAGGTTGCCCCCAGCAAATCAAGGAATTCCTCCCTGTCGGTCCCTTTTAAACACCTAGGTGGAGAGTGGCACATGTAGATTAATGTCCTGCCAAAGGACGTGTCGGGGCGGTCAGCTGTAAAAGCCACTAGACATAATTATGACTATGTTGATAGTCGCAGTCGCAGTCAATCTTGTAAGAAACTCGTGTGTTGTTTCTCAGAAATATATAATTGTCGTTAAGTATTATTGCAGCTAATATATCTTTTTGAGCTGGATTTCAATGCGTTACTAGCCATAATCTGTTCGTCATCTCTCTCATTTGTCATTTCTACAGATGGGCTGTTTCATCGGTTGATGGCGAGAGCAGTCAGATGGATGGGTGAAAGAGATGGAGGACCAGTCACTCTTTTCCATCGTCACATCAGTCTAATGGTTGACGGAGTGCATCATGCCTTAATAGAGATGTTACCTCCTTGTGAAGCAACTATCAAGGTCTGAGTCAACCGTCAGCGATACATTTTTTTATCATGGTGGAGATACTTAATTGTATGTACAGTTTTTAAGGCCGTGCATCGGATACCTTCAAAGCCAATGAACAGCCTCCGCAATTCTCCTGAAGACAATCATACTGTCGATACGTAAAGAACCAGTGCTCCTATTTCTGTGAAATAATTGCATTGTGTAACCCTGTAAACTTGACCTATAATTCAGTATCAAAGTCTGCTTCTTAGTGCTCTAATCTGAAAAATGGAACCTCATAATATCTCACCGTTTTTATTGGTTTTAAATACACATACATTCTTAGCTGATATTATATTCAAGAGTTCATCAGAAGCCCTATAATCGTTTTTATTTTCAACCTATCTTTTCGTTCTTGTTTTGTTTTGTAATGTATTGTAATATTTTGTTATTCTATAATTGTATTGTTTTACATTGTATTTTAATTGTATCATGTAATAAGTACTCTCTTGCAAATCAGTTAATGTGTGCTGAGGAACATACTCTGTGGAACGAACACACAATTTAACAATGTATAAATAAGTTAATAAATTACCCTCACAAAACTGAGGGGAAATTAAAAAAATTACACACCATCATATCAATAATTTCTTCAAATTCTGTTTCCCTTTACCTTTGATGCTGAACATGGCAGGTCATTGTATATCAAGGAGCGGTTGCTGGTTCTGATCATGATGGGGATAGTCACAAACCCCCAGCCCCAAGTGCTGTCAAAGAGGTAGGTAGCTCAACAGGGTGGTTTCAATTACTACACAATATAAATGAACAGGGAAATGATGTTGTTGTTCGATTGGAAAACTGGTAGCTTGCTTGTGTCTGCCAGTACACATCTGAGAAAGGTCTCTGAAACACTGTCACTGGTATATAATTGTTTGGATGTGTCATAGAACATGTGTTTCTAGTTGCATAAGTCAAATCGGTTGAGACCGCAAACAAATAGTTTGACTTAGTCAAAATTCGACTTAAGAAGTGTAAATAACACATGATTTGCATAGGTTTTTCAAGAAAATGTATTTAACACAAATATGACTTGTACATGAGTTATGCAGATATAACTGTAATTAACTTTACACTAACGGTCCCATGTCCTAAAGTGTGGTGAAACTTTGAGTCCTCTTAGATTAGAGGACAGTAAAGTTAGACCAAATGACACTTAAACTTGATTTAGAAATTAACTACAGTTAAAGGCAGGATTAACTCCAATTATTTTTCTGAATGTCTGGTTAATTTAAGCCATTTTCTACATCTTGTTTATGTGGTATTATACTCGGTTCAGTTATCAAACTGTGAAATATTGCGCTTCATCAAAATGATAGACCTTTTTGAAACCGTTCTGTGTCAGTAGGTTTATGGACAATTGTAAATGAGCTTCCAAGAGAATATTGATAGTGCATGATTAATTTTTGTCGAGATATATTGGAAACAAACCTCGAAATAAATGTACTGTTTATGGATAAGGAAGATGAGAGGACCATTTTTCCCTTCACCCAAATCGGCAGTACCTGTTCATGTGTCTCGGCAGAATATGTTAGGTTAAGAGAAAATATAAGCCAATGTGACGTACGATTTGTGCACTATCCTAATGACAGTCTCATTGTAGATCTGTCTGTTGTTAATATAAAATCAAAGTTAAGTAAGCTTGAAGCAGCCAAAAATAAATTTAAAATAATATCTGTCTTGGGCTGTTGGTGTATCTATGGCAGGTGATGGACTTTGTAACGAAAACCCTTGATAGCCTTATTCAGCACTGGGCTAGGAGGATCGAGTATGATGTCCGCTTTCTGTGCCCGAGCCCGAAGTGCAAGTCGAAGATACTGCTTAAAGACTGTTACAAAGGAATGTCACTCAAGTGTAGACTACATACCATCCCTACTGCTGCAATCAAGTTCAAGTTTGGTAGGTCTATAAGACTTGGTACTCCACCAAAAAATATTTGTATCTGTATTGAAACAAATTTCCCACGCAGCAAACCGATGGTGCCATTAATATATACCCCTAGTCTCGCGAAGAATCTTTGAGTGAGGGAAATGTAAGATAATAACTTTTCCATATGTGGGGATTATGTGACAAATGCAGATCATTACATAAGGCCTGTTGGTCATAAAACTGAAGGCTAAACCTCGTGATTAATAACACCTGTTATTGGGTAAACACCCGAATGGTGTCAAATTCTCCATATGAGGGCCCACTATAATGTGCGTCTTTAACATAGATAAAAGTCACTCATGTAGACTAGTTGACACACCTGTACACACTGAAATAGAATAGGGCCTGCAAGGAACCCAAGTCCGACTTTAGTTTCGTTTGTGGGGGGTTATTTTATATTTGATTTTCTTCATACGCCTTAACTATTAATGCATAGAATGCCAGGTAAAACTGTGTTAAGTTTATTTTATACCTTCTAGCTGTACACAAATAGTAGCTTAGCTGATTGGCGCACGTTGGGGTTATTGGTGCAATTATCGTACTTATGTGTTTACAAAAGTTCGGGGGACTCACGGTGTTTGAAAAAGGCCCTTATTCTGTAATAACTTGTTTTAATAATTCTACAACATGCCATGACTATCTGATGCACATTTCACTTTGATCATACAAATTCTGATTATCCACAAACGATGAGATCGGAGATGAATTGGTTTAAATACCGTCATGCCTTACTTCATTCATAGTCAATATTATTTGATTAGTTGTGCTCATGCAATTCTGTTTTTGGTGGCTGTTCTTTTTTCTCTTCCTTTTCTTTTGTTACTCAGGTACGATTAAAGAGAGACAAATAGTATCTAGAATTATGGTGTCAGGAGTAGGGTTGTAACATTTCTTAGTTTGAATATGGAGTGTCTATTAAATAAAAAGGCCCTGTTAACAAGCATTTGCTTCTTTAGGGCTCCTAACCTTTACTAATCTGTATATGATTACATTTAATGTAAGATTTTTAACTGGATTAATAAATTGAAATTGAAATTGATATTAATCTCACAAACATCTTAACATTTTGTATAAATAGTATAGAATATTATGTCTGATTCAATTTAATTTCAGGAGTGAAATTTGGTTCACATTTACTGCACCTGAAGTATTTAAGGCAAACTTATAATTTTCTTGTTATTTCCAAACCATCTCTAGATTGGTGTTAGGAAACTCCAAACTCACGAACCCCGAAAATGTAGTTTTATGTCTTGCCAGTTGATAATATTGATGTGGCAGGGATTTGAGCCCAAAATACATTGTGATCCACAGCACTCGGATTTACTAGACCTCAAATATTTTTCATTTGAATGTTTTTATTCATTGTTCTGTTAATGCAGGTATGAGTGAGGAAGGAGTGAAGACGGGGAACGAAAGTAAGTATGCAATCACTTCATCCTCTCATTCTCATCTTTTTTTTCTTCTTGAATCATGTTGTAAGGATTTTCGTAGTTTGAATCTGGGGTGCCTATTCAATAAGCTGACAAGTAATTCTATATATGTTAGTACAGAATATTATGTCGTGTGTCAACCAAGAGAAGGGTAACTATTATTCTCCCCTCGCCGATGATGTCGGAGGGGATATAGTGACGCTACCGTCCGTCTGTTCTTAAGAAATCTGGTTCCCGTTCGATAACTTTATTAATATACAGTAGGCTTGCGGGTGCACCATTTGAGAGAGAGAGAGGGAGGATTGAGGTGTCCTGAAAAGGATACTCACAAGCAGCATCTAACTTTAGTAATGTTTCACGGATTTTAATGAAATTTGATATGAAGGTACATGGTATCAAAACATAGGAATAATTTGTAATGAGGCACTTAAGAAAGATTTGTGTATCAAGTGTGATTACAGTACGGAAATGGACTATTCTGAAAAATTGTCATCCGTCTTTTTGTTTTGGTCCAGGTTCAAGTAGCTCTTTGCAAAGGAATGAAGACGCAAGAAGAACTGGAGAATCAACACAAAGAAGCGCTCCATCTTACCAAACAAGCAGAAGTGCAACCAGCGGATCCTCTCAAGGACAGCCGAAGTTCCATGACATCTATCTTAAGTTTAGTCAAGACACGGATGATGTACATAAGGTGAAGGATATCATCCGCAGGAATGGCTGGACGATGGTGACTGCTGCCGACAGCAGGCTTGGTGTCCCGAAAATGGCCAGTATCGAGGACGCCCTCAAGACCTGTTCCCACGTGGTCCTTATAATCACGAAGGAGGATTGCGAGAAGAACGACCCATATCAGACCATGATGATGGGGATGGCATTTCAGTCGACGGTGGGCGGGAGTTTGAATGGCCGGGTGATTTCAATCCGATGCTGCGAGGAGAGTCATCTTCCGTTATCGCTTCAGAGTTTGGAAAATGCATGCATCAATGATCACTCTCTAGAGGACAAACTAAAGAGGACCATTGATGTTAGCATCAGGAAGAACAAAGAAAGATCATCAGTGGGTTAGTTTCATAAGATTTAAAGATAAGGCTTAGTTTTGGGAATGCTAATCCACTGTGAAAGAAACTGAAAGCAATCAGCAAAGTTTGCTTGTGTAGCAGATAAGTATTGGTATATACCTTTTCAGCCGCAACACCTTTCTTTTGAAATGGGCTATCTGACCAAATTTGGGAGCCTAATAGGTCACAATCATGGAGGGTTTCGCGAGGGCCTTGAAACGTATTTGTTTTCAATACTTCGTGAGGCTGTTCTGCTTGTTGTTTTCTCTGGGTTTGTTGGGAGCTTGTTCCACCAGTCAAGTCATACATACGTAATATATTGCTCTCACTATGTTATTATTATCTGGTTGAATAGTTCTCACAAATCCATGTATTCTATGTTCAGCTACAATGTATGTTAATATATTATTGTTTAACAAGAAGTTAAGCGAAATTCTACAAATTCTTATGAGCTATATAAGCACTTTCCATTCATATTTACTGTGAGGTTCCGGTATCCTGAAAATGATAGAGAACACACACAATGTACACAGAAATGTGTATATGGGGCTACATATTGATTTTATGAATGAATCATAGTTATGAGTTGTTTTGTAATGGTTTCACTAATTTAATTGAACGTTGTCTTCACATTGCAGGTATTACAACAAAATAAACACTACAAGAAGTGTAAGCTATGAAATTCCACAAAAAGAGTATAAAATGTAAATGTTTTTCTTTATAAATTGTTATGCCAGAGGGTTTCCGTCTTCATCATCATCAATATCATTATCAAAGTCAAACAGTTTCCTCTTATGAGGTGTTACTGAGACTCTCTCCACCATTTCCTCTTGTCTCAAGCATCCTCCTGATGTATACATACCTTACCGCTTTCTTTCTTCACCATTTCTTTCCATGGAACCTTCGGTCCTCATTTCCTTCTTAAGCCATCACAAAGTTCTATTTTGTCGTGATGTGCTTATGCAAACCATCTTTAATTTTTTGTTCTTCCTCCAAGGTACTAGCTCCACGTTGCCAACAGGAGTATCCATTGCACCTCCAGTGTCCTCTGACCTCAGTACACAGCCTCTGGCAGCGGCACGGGTTGCTTCAGAGGTTGAGCGGATCCTCCCGCGAATCAACGATCTGCCAGCTGTTCCAAGCTCTTCAGTGAACATACATGGGAATGTTTTTAACATCGGCTCCATGTATGTTACAGGGAGACATGATCTTGTGCCGCTGCACCCAATGATCATCCCCCTTGTGGTACGGCACGAGCTGAGTAAACTATTGAACGGTCCCCGTGTTACTCATGACGACTGGAAGGGACTTGCTAGTGCCTTGCGATTGGATGACTACATCGCTAGTCTGACCAACAAGCCAGACCCAACAGCAGATCTGATTGATATGGCGGAGAGACAGAAGAAGATTTGCAGTCTCGAGGATCTGAGGCTCATTCTGAAGCAGATGAAGCGCGATGATTGTGTGGATGTTCTTGATGCCGGAGCATCGGTAGAGTCAAACAGCCGTCTGATGATTAAAGATCGGGACAGAAGTAGCAGTTCTAGTGATGACAGTTACAATGAATAAGTCTCTGGATTGTAAACCACGGGGTATGGGGTTTGAATCCTGCCAAAGTAGATGTATATGAAGATAGTGCATGTGTTTAAAGGCTTCATATCATAAAGATGTGAACATTATGAATACTGATGAGGCTACCCTGGGTAAAAAAGACATATTATTATTATTATTATTACATCTGAGTGATAATATTATATTTTCTAACAACTAGACATTTAGTGTTCCCCGTGCGGACTCGTGTTTCCTGCCCACTACATTCCTCTAATGTACGTTATTGTGCACATTATCATAGTTCATTTTTCACAGGTATCATTTTATAGAAAAGTGTATGCTTTTAAAATACTCAATCATTTGGCACCTGAATATCTTAATGACACCCTCCAAATATATACACCAACTCGCAGTCCTCGTTCAGCAACCGACACATGTAAACTTAACATTCCCTAAACTAGACTCTCAGCAGCTGAAATCAAAGACTTGGAACAGTATCCCTCTTTCCATAATGGAAATTACCTGTCTTGCCACCTTAAAAAAATCCCTAAAAACTTACCTTTTCCCCATTAATCTATGTGATATACTTTCTCTACAGTAACTGTAGATTTTTTGCTCTTTTTATATATTTGTATTTGTAACCGCTATGGTACTAATTGTTTTTAACGCTCCTAAATATTCGATATTATCATTATAATTATGTTTATTTACAAATAACCAGAGGTAGCTGCCTATCTTTGATATTTTGAAAGAGTGATTCCTATTTTCGGACCTTCAAGCTAGGTTTTGCACAGGTCATTTCCCTCTTTTTGTCTGAAGACTTTTTGTTAAAAAGTTAAAAAATTACATTTGATTCATAACTTTCCAATGTTTAGCTGTAAAACATTAGTTGGTAATACAAAAAATGAAAGTAAATGGTTAGAGTTTATTCTTTAGGATCTTATCAACGTATAGTGATCATGGTTTACATTATATTTTAACTCAGAGATGGATTATTTGTTGTTGTCTTGTGCTCAATATAATCATGAAAATGTATTTTATATATGTATGATATTTTGATGAAGGAAGCCTTGAATAACATGTTGCGAATGTTTTATTCAATTTGATATGGAACTGCATTATCTTCAATCGCTGCTCATAAGTATCGGCTTGCACGTTGATGTCGATATACAGGAGGCTTGCGGTTGCACCATGTGAGAGAGGGTGAGGATTAGAGCCACTCATAGGGCCACTCCTACCACCCATCCTCTCCAACCGATGCTATAATTCTCCTTCGAACTATAAGCTAAGAAAGATAACCAACATTTTTTTTGCAAGACTATACCAACAGTCCTTTTCAGGACTACACACACGTACACTCGAGAAAGGAAGATTTAATACCGAGAGTCCTTTTCAATACTCCCCAATCCTCCCCCTCCAAGTCCAAGTGAGCTTCTTGTTGTAATGCCCCCCTCTACTGCTGGGCTTTAGTCAATTTTTAGACCTGGATCAGATGACCATCAACTTGAAGCTGTTACTCAGTTTGGGGGACTCGGTTTATTATCTGAAACGAGTGTTGTTATGAATAATAAAACGTGCTAATTGCATAATAACCTTTACAGGGAAGTTGTATGAATTATATTTTTAAAGAATTGTAATTTTGTTTGAGTAATATTTTTGAACAATTGTGATGTTTGTCAATATTTGAGCTTCCTGTGTACTCCATTTGGTAAATTGTGTGATATATTAAGTTCATGAATATATATTTTGTTAACTCTTTGTAAGACAGGGCCCTGGTATGTAGAACTAATATTAAATATTATATTTACATGTTGAGAGTCAGCTTTGATAAATAAATGTTGTATTTTGTGCTTGCACAAGTGATAAAGAATTCATGTGTTAGAGAATCATGCGATACATTTTCTTACGGGATTAAATTGATTTTCAATGTATGATCTCAACAATGATATTTTATCTCACTTTTATACTGATTATTGATATGTGTAGAGAATTCAGAAGTTTCAGCGTTCCACGGAGATATAAAAGAATTAATATGTTGTTATTGCAATGAAGTGGTTGCTAGTTGTGCAGTTATACTTGTCGTAGAGGGCGGCCAAATGTAAACAAACCTTTAGAGATAGCTGCGCCCATATGCATCGATTATCGATAAACTGTGCTGTTGGTAGGGATTAATTTTGATTGTCCTATATGTTATAATAAGATACAAATTAGTTGATTAAGATTGAAGAAATGATGTGTTTCTACATTTTGTATTATTAATGTATAGAAGAAGTATTTCAGCAGTGCTGAATATTTCAATGAGTTTGAACTTAATTATATTGATATGCCAAATGACATGCAGATTATGCTGTCAGAATAGCCAGTAAAGAAATGCTTGGTTGTTGTTATTGTTTTTATTGATTACAGCTGGTATATGTTTGCTGTTGAGTCATCTTATCCAATGGCTACGTGTGGTGACTTGGCTGCTACATGGTTCGTTATTCTTTCTGCAAATTTATAATTATGACGTTTAATGCAGTAGTGAAAATGTATACCATATTTGAAATTTATTTTAGTACAAGAAATTTCTTGGTCTTTTAGATGTGCATCTTGCTTGTGATATAGCTTTTTTTTGTAGAATGCTTAGATAACAAAAAATACTTCAGCATTTCAAAGTGCACTTATGAAATTAGTTCAGCTCATAGCCAGGATTTTAGTATGACAAATTGTGTTTGATTGTGTTCAAATGCTATTTAGATAATTGATTCTTGTTAGGATTTCTATTCAGATTAATTTCCATTCGGATCTTAAAACAGAGTTTATATTATCAGAGGGTAATGAGTGAAGTTTCGTTAGAATAGGGATACAAATATGTAGTGTCTGTACTTTGTAGGTCATGTATATATTTACATTTTTCCCATGAGGCCTGACAGTTGGAGGCATTTTACGGAATATGCAATGATGTATACGTATTAAGTATTGTAAACTTGTCATCAATTCCAGCAGATGTGTGGAAATTATACTGAATCTATTTACTTTTATTCTTCTTCTTCTTCTTCAAGATAATCTGCCTCCTTCAATTAATCATTGTCCTAAAGTAATAGTGATATACATCTTGTTATTCTGATATTACATATGTTTACATTGTATAATGATATACAACTGTCTTTTGAAGATATTTTGTATGTGATGTTTAATTTTGAACATGTTCTTATTGTTTTTGTTATTCTTCTGCCTTTGCAGAATTTCGTTTTGTATTTTGTTAACGAATGGTAAATAAACGGGATAAACTACATTACATTTCACTACACCTTGTACGATTCTTTGATTGGGTCACTCCAATCCAGCTGCGACTTAATCAATTGTTCCTGACTTATGAAGACCAACATATTTGAATAGACGAGAGCAGATATTTTAGTCACTCTGTGTGTTAAACCAAGTGGGCAAGTTGTACGGCACTATCATGCCACAGTGTCATAATAGATTGAGTCATTTTGAAGTGCCCGTACATATTTAGGCCTAGAGGAATTGCAATTAACTTTCATAAATTCATTACCTTTTTATTGTTGTCCAGTTCATATAAACTATTAGTTATCAGTCCACTTCTCTGATATGTTCTGCTTTCTTTTTGATCACTTGTATGTTATGATTAGATGTTCCTCTAAGTTTAGTGATGGTTTGGGAATTATAGTATATAAACAAAGAAAATTACAATAAACATGTTTGAAAAGAAAAGGGAAGAGATGGTCGGAGGCAAGGATATGCAAATGAAGCTATATAGAACGAGACGGTGAGAGGATAAACAATAAGGTAAGATTTGATATGATGAATAAAAAGAGATGATACATTATGATATGTACAATGCTTCCAAAATAGTTGTGCAAATGTCATACAGTTAACTCTGCATGAGTCGAAGTCGCAGTCGAATATTTCCCCTATAAGTAATGTATGCGACATAGAGTCGAATGCATTTTCGAAATCCGTAACAGGCAACATTCCTTTTCAGTTTATTAGCTATACAACCGGATGCTTGTTTATAGATAGCATTTGACAGTGAGATCGGTCTCCAATATTGAAGTAAATGCCTACATTTGCTTACCTTGGGAATCAGAATTATAACCCCAATCTATTGAGTGTTTTATTGCCCCGAGAAATACGCAAAGTTCAATGATCTTACTATCAAAGGTTTGATTCCCCCCCCCCCCCTTCTCCAAACAAAAAACAACGAATAGACTTCATCAAAGTGGACCTTCCAACAGTTGTGAAAGTTGTTAAGACAATTTGGGAATATTATTGAATAACACAATAATGTTTCTAAAAAAAATTCATGTATTTCTTTAAGGCCCGGTCCCACTGCACTTACGGATGCAAAGAGGATGTAAAACGTAAAAAAATCTTGCCATCCGTTGGAAAACGCTATGCATCCGTTGTTTACTCATTGCATACGTGTTTCATACGCTCTACCTATCGAGCATCCGTCCATTGTGATTTCATCCGCGCAAAAAGTTTTGAGCTGCACAAAACTTTTAGAACGGATGAACTTCCGCCGTGTACGATGTAAATCCGCGACAAATACGAGCAACAAACGTTCTATGTCCGTTATCATCCGTTAAACGTCCGCTGTATCCTCTCTGCATCCTCTGGGCATCCTCAAAACTCACATCCGCTGCAGCTGAAAACGGAAAGAGGGAGGAAAGATAAGGTACATGGAACGTCTATACATCGTTAGTAGCACGGAAATAAAAAGGATGTAAGCGTATGCATATCGTATATAAAGTATTCAAAGCTGTCATCCACTTCCATCCGCTTTCATTCGCGAGGCTTCCGATGAGAATCCGTTTAACATCCCCGCTACATACTACCCACGTCCGTTATTTTCCGTTCTGTTTTCGCAAATTTTCGCAAATTTTGTCCATTTCTGGAGCGGATAAAAACGGATGGAGCCACCCCCGAAATTTTGCTTGTCCGCTGTGTCCTTTATGCATACGTTTTGTGTCCGTCGGCCAGTGGGACCGGGCCATTAGCTACATAAATATTATAATAGAAGTTAAACACATCCTTAACTATTGTCTTTTTAAATTCTTCCCCTCACCAGTAGATGGTTGACGTATTTTTATGTCAACCTCAATTTTTTTTTCTTCAAATTTAAATAGAATTAAGATGATTATTCTCCACACTCCATCCATATTCTATCCGAAATATTATGGCACTATTTCGTATTCTAAAATCATAACAACAATCACTTTTCCTTGACCAAATAAAGCCCTGAGTAAGATGTTACATTTGGTTCAATATAGGCCTTCATTTCACTGCAATGTATAGTTTGCCACCGAAGATGGCGGTATTTGCAATCAAAGATCAGAGTCATCAATACACAGAGTTTTGCCAACTTGGTTTCAGTTGGTTATATCATGGCGGGTATTATTTTGTTTTGTGCTTGCCCACCGGACCAACTTACTATTTTGCTGAACTCGAACTTGGTTTACCAAACCTTCCTAATCAAAGGCCCTGTTGATGAATAATCTCCTTTGCGTCTGTTGTCATGTGAATGTATTTGTCATTATTTTACACGCACTAAAAACCTAAGTACATGGATTTTCAAAAGAATTCAATCGTTTAAATCTCTAAAATGCTTTTTAAAAAAAGTCAATATCTTTTATTGTGAGAAGAAATATATGAATACGAGCTCATCAAATGCACTGTGCCTTTTCTTCTTCTCATCAATTGGTGGCCAGTGAGTCAATACACTTTTTGTATCGTGATCATCGTTATCATTTAAAAGAAGATGAAGTCGTACTAGGCTGTCCTGTAAGTCGATGGGTTATTCGTCCCTTTCCGGTAAATATTACAAAATTATGCTGATCACATTAAGGACAAGATTATACTGATAACAAGTTGCATGTTTATATAAATATGAATTATTAATATGAAAGCAGAAAACTGCATGAAAAGCAAAGGAAACTTCACTTCAAAGAAATCGTAGTAAAAACAAGGACGTTATGAATGCTACGATGTGTTAAAACGACAGGGGTGGTTGCTTTCATTCATGTATTTACTTATTAATTTATAAATACGGGTGGAGGTGGCTATGGAGTATGGTTTATTGCAACGTTTTCTTCATGTACCTCTCTTTAATTAATTTATAATCATTTTTTGTTTGGGGGGGGGAGGGGGTTGAGTCTCAGATGTCCTATGCAGAGTCTCTCTAGAATCTGTACTGGTAAATGAGTGCAAACAATATCCCTTAACTAGCTGCTCTAAGATGTGATATCCACATGTATAGTTTAGATATTTTTTTGGACCGATATTGTTTCGCAAAAATTAACGCTCCCCCCTCCCCCGAATTTAACATTTTCGTTAAGTGTTGGAATGACGACCTCTATCCACCAGACTTCTACAGGCCATCTCGTTTCGGTGATCACGTTGATCGTCACATGCCTGGGTTTCACCACGGGTCACGTGATCATGGCTTCGAGCCGATGCGACCATCACAACCACCGCCACACTTCCCTCATGGTTACCCTTCCATCATGGAACGCCCCTTTGGTAATGACGGTTTAGAACCTCACTTCGGGCACGACGCGCTGGAACCTCCCGGCCCTGACGGTCCCCGGACTCGCCTACACGAGAGACCCCCTGCTCCACCGGGACCTCTCCCTGGTGGTCCCCCTCACGGCAGGCGGCCTGGATCAGAAGGTTCCCGTAGGCTCGGACCTGGGTATGAACTACACCACGGCGGACCCGTAGAGCACGAGCACGCCAGACGCAGGGGAAAAGTCAACAGAGCTTACTACCATAACAACCTACCATAATCCACACATCGTAAGAACTTAACACTTATCATGCCACAGGGCTAATCCCCATTGTGCCAAGCCCCAAATCCCTCTGTGCCAAGTTTATTTTGAGATAATTTTATCTTGCATTGTTGACATGAAGACGAAAATAAACTTCCAAAAACAACATCTGCCGATAGATCTTGATCTAAGTTCGTGCCAATGCATTGCAAAAGTAAAAGAAGGGCCCGTTTTTATGGAGCTGCCGCGAAGCCGTTTTCAATCCATTTTAATGTAAAAATAAGAGAAAATTGCCAGGTATGGTATTAGAGTGCGATGGCCGAGCGGTCTAACGTCTAAGGCGGTGATTTTAGTCACATCATCGTTTGTCCGCAAGAGACGAATCCCATCTTCGACAATTTTTTTCTTTTTTTCCCCATTTTTTAGTCTACTCTCAACGATACACTCATACAAATCTCGGGAAGATTACAATTGGGCTATTGCCCTCGGCACGCCTCGGGCAATAGCACAATTCTAACCTTCCCTTGAGCGTATAAAAACAACTATTTCTCTCAAAGCAGTCATTAATACTATAATATTTGATCATTATTTTAATAACAAACTGAAATCAACTACACTGTAAAAAAATAATAGTCGAAATAACTCAATAAAATTGAGGAAAAGAATTGCCTTATTTTTATTAAGTAAATATTACCTACGGCATCTTAAGTAGAATTTACTTATTTTGCTGAATACATTTTTACTCAGTTAAATCGAGTTACATTAACGTAAAAAATTTAAGTATTGTAATCATTTTAGATAATTAAAAAAAAGCTATGATAGGATTACATATTGCACGATTTGGTACCCATCTAATCTAACAAGTAACATCCACTAATCATTCACTACTTCTATTTAAGATTTAACCGTATATATATCTACCACCATCACAAACTATTACATACGCTTCAATTCGACACATATTGAAAGGCTCCACATTTTATATATACTTGATCGTAGCATCTTAAAAGGAAAATTGGTTGACAATTTCCTGAAATATCAAGTTTTGATTTGTTTTGAACTGGGTAACAATTAAAAATTGTCTTGTCTTTGCTTAGCCATGTTAAATGAATTAGTAAATGTTTTAAAGTCCTTAATTTTCATTCAACCACAAAAAAGAATTGTTTTATTTAAAAAAGAGTTTAATTTGGTCTTAATGAATATTCATAAATTATGTAAATATTTCTATTACGCACTGCATCGGTCCTTACTTTAAAAAGATAAGAATAATCAACATAAATTGTTTGAGTAATACGTATAATTTCTGATTTTGAGTTAAAATTACTAAATTAATACAAGCTGAAATTACTTAAAGTTCTTATGTATTAGATTTTAATTAAATATTCCACGTATGTTTTACTAAATTGAAAGTTTGAGTTAGCAAGACTTAAATTTAGTGCGTAAGTGGCAAAACTAATGTTTACAAGTAAATTCTACATGGAAAAAATACGTAAAAATTACCAATGAACAAA